CATAAAAGAAATAAATAAACAAAATAAAGATATTGTGTCCATGTATAACTAAAAAAATACATAAAAAAATAAAAAAAGGAATTTGAAAAGGCTTACCAACATGCAAACAATTCTCCAAGCTTAGAAAATCAAAGCAGGCTGGGCATGGTGGTATATTCCTATAATCCCAGTGGCTCTGGAGGCTGACTCAGGAGGCTGATGCAGTAGGATCACAATTTCAAAGCCAGCATCAGCAATTTAGCTAGGTCCTAAGCAATTAAGTGAGACCCTGTTTTGAAATAAAATATAAAAAAGGGCTGGTGCAACTGGGGTTATAGCTCAGCGGTAGAGCACTTGCCTCGCACATATGAGGTACTGGGTTCCATCCTCTGCACCACATAAAAAATAAATAAATAAACAAATAAATAAATACATAAAATGAAGATTTTTGTGTCCATCTTTTAAAAAACCTTTTTTTTTTAAAGGGTTAGGGATGTGAATCAGTGGTTGAGTGCCTCCAGATTCAATCCCTAGTACCCACCCCACTTCCCAAAATAAATTAAAGCAGCCAGGTACAGTGGTGCATGCTTGTAATTTCAGCAAGTTGGGAGGCTGAGGCAGGAAGATTGCAAATTAAAGGATAGCTTCCGCCATCTTAGCAAGACCCTGTCTCCTGGATTCAGTTCCCACTACCAAAGTATCAGTGACCTAGGTATGTAATACCTCTATTTTTTAAAACTCCTTTTTTTTAAAAAAAAAAAATTTTTTTAGTTGTAGATGGACACAATACCTTTATTTTATTTATTTATTTTTATGTGGTGCTGAGGATTGAACTAGTGCCTCGATACATGCTAGGCAAGCGCTCTACCAGCCCCAGCCCAAAACTCCTTTTTTTTTTTTTTTTTTTTTTTGGGAGAGGGAGAAAAAAATTTTTTTTATTTTTTTTTTTTTTTTTTGTGGGGGGAGAACACCTTTGTTTTTATGTGGTGCTGAGGATCCAACCCAGGCTGCATGCATGCCAGGTGAATGCGCTACCGCTTGAGCCACATCCCCAGCCCGAAAACTCCTTTTTTTAATATTTATTTTTAAGTTGTAGTTGGACACAGCACCTTTATTTATTTATTTTTATGTGGTGCTGAGGATCAAGCCGACCACCTCACATGTGCAAGGCAGGCACTCTACCACTGAGCCATAACCCCAGCCCTTAAACCTCTTTTTTATATTTTAACTCTAAAAATATCAGTTTAGTTTTGTTGTGGTGATGTTTTTTGTTTGTTTGTTGGGTTTTTTTTTTTTTTCAGTACTGGGGACCAAACTAGGGTCTCACATTTGCAAAGAAAGTACTCTACCAGAGGGTTGTGGCTAAGTGGTAGAGTGCTTGCTGAACATGCATGAGGCACTGGGTTCGATCCTTAGGACCACATAAAAATAAACAAAATAAAGGTATTGGGTCCATCTACAACTAAAAAAATATATAAAAAAAGAAAGTACTCTATCATTGGAGTGCATCCCTAGTCCTATTATTTTTAAAAATATTTTATTTATTTATTTCAAAATCTTTTATTTGTTTGCTTAATTTTTAGTATTGGGGATTGAACACAAGGGTGCTTAGCCACACTGAGCCACATTTCCCACACTTTTTGTTTTTTATTTTTGAGACAGGGTATCACTAAGGTGATAAGGCTGGCTTTGAACTCATATTCCTCTTGTCTCAGCCTCCAGAGTCACTGGGACTGCAGGCATGTACCAGTGCACTGAACCTTTTGGAGATTTTTTGTATTTTTATATATATATATATATATATATATATATATATATATATATACACATACATACATACATACATATATATTTAACTTTTATTTTTTAGTTGTTGATAGACACAATAACCTTTATTTTATTTTTACGTGGTGCTGAGGATTGAACCCAGTGCCTCATGCATGCTAGGCAAGCACTCTACCTCTGAGCCACAACCCCAGCCCCTGGACATATATGTTCTTTTTTTTTTTTTTTTTTTGGTACTAGGTATTGAACTCAGGGGCACTCAACCACTGAGCCACATCCCCAGCTCTATTTTGTATTTTATTTAGAGACAGGGTCTCATTGAGTTGCTTAGCACCTCACTTTTGCTGAGACTGGCTTTGAACTTGCGATCCTCCTGCCTCAGCCTCCCAAGATGCTGGGGATTACAGGCATGCACCCTTGCACCCAGCTGGAAATAAATATTCTTTAAAAACATTTTTTTTTAGTTGTTGTTGGACACATACCTTTATTTTATTTATTTTTATGTGGTGCTGTGGATTGAACCCAGGGCCTCGAACGTGCTAGGGAAACGCTCTACCGCTGAGCCACAACCCCAGCCCCTATTCTTCTTCTTCTTCTTTTTTTGTGATATTTATATCTTAGTTGTAGTTGGACACAATACCTTTTAGATTTATTTATTTATTTACTTATATGTGGGGCTGAGGATCGAACCCAGGGCCCCACATGTGCTCGGTGAGCACACTGAGCCACAACCCCAGCCCTGGAAATATATATTCTCAAGAAAAATTAATAGGGGGCTTCAGAAGTAGAATGCTCACCTACCATGCGTGAAGCACTGGGTTTGGTTCTCTGCACTACATAAAAATAAAATAAAGCTATTGTGTCCACCCATAACTAAAAAATACATATTAAAGTTAAAAAAATTAATAGGGAAAAAATATTTCTGAAAGAGAAAGTATCTTGTAGGGTAAAGTAATACTTTTGTCTTGAAACCCAAAATGATTTCTTTGTCATTTTTATTGACTTATTTATTTAGGCTATACTGGGGACCAAACCTAGGGCCTCACACATGCCAGGTAAGTGCTCTACACTAAACCACTACGCTAAAACACTAATCCTTAGCCTCAAGTCCACAATGAAAGAAAAGACAAAACTAAGGATATAAACAAGTTATAAAATGTCGAAGTAAGTTACATAAGGTTTGTGAAAGGTAAATCTTGAAAAGTTTGTGTGTGATTAAGTTGACTATAATTGGCACAGTTAAAGTTACTTAGGTTTCCCCCCCCCATGGTCAAATTTTAATATACTGATATAGAACAAAGTCTAATCCTCTGTGTTTAAAAACAACAAGGGTTCCTTAAAACACTGATCTGCTCCATGTCTGCTTTGAGCATAGTCCTTGCTACCCTGCACCACTGCATCATATTTTAAAACTGACATTTTTTTTTCTCTTTTCCTTAACCTTGAAGGAAGGAAAATTACATTTTTTCCCATTCTAGGCCAAGTTGTCTATCCTTGGACACACACACTACAAGAATAAAATAATTCAGACTTCAGTAGTGTCAAAAGATCTAAAAAATGGCTATTTCTCAAAACTACAAATAATTTATGACCCTGAATAGGGCACAATTGGAATGTAGCCATTGAATCACCTCTTTAAGGACACATTGTTCCCTTGGTAGTTAGTGTCACCATGTTTCTCCTTTGCTAACAAAAAGACCAAAACTTCACAAAGTTGATAAATCCAGTCACAAAAATATGATCATATACATATTATTAAATAAAATATGAAATATTCAAATTATTAAATTAAATGATTGTATTCATATTATGACTATATTCATATGTTATTGTTATCAGCAAAAATTGACTAATTGTCTTTATTAAAGACAAACTTTATTTGACTATGTTCAGTTGAATATTTTAAAGAGATTTTTAACCATCAATTAAAAAAAAAAAACAACCCAAAACTTTCCTTTTTACTCAAAACCTTGTCTTCATTATTGGACTGATATTAAGGACAAAGCAAAGACTGAGTTTTCCAAAACATTATCTATCAAGATAATTTCTTGTGTCTATTAGGTTTAAAATCAAGTGTGTTTTTACTCTTACTAATTTCACTTTGTAACTACTACCTGTTAGTATTTTGCAAAAGTACTACTTCTAACCAGAATAACCTGAATTAAGACAATAAGGCATCACCTCCAGGACAGATAGGATATCTGACTTGCAGTACTGATACAAATCCCAATTAAACGGGAAGAGTAATTGTAAAATTAGAAATCTTAAAGTTAAAACCCATTACTCCCATTTCAAGAATGGTGAAACTGGCCTGCTGGATGTTTAAAACCAAAACTTGGAGACCGAAGTCAAAGAAGTTAAAAAGTCTAAAGAAAATGCAATCAATATTTTGGCCCATGCCCTCTAAGGTCAACCAGGATCCAGGGAATGATGGGAACCCTTTAAAGCCCCTTAACTCCAGTGAGTCACCCAACCTTCAAATCAGGAGGATTGTGAGAACCCTAGAGAACAGGAAGTCAACCAGTGCACATTCTGTAAAGAGGGTCATTGGAGAGAGTAATGTCCCAATGCTTCTAAGGGAAGCCATATGTGGTCAGCAAGACTCTGACTCATCCTGGCAGATGGCATGACCAGTAGGAGAAAGCTAAAGGAGTGCTGGAGATATAGCTCAGTTGGTAGAGTGCTTGCCTTGCATGCACAAGGCCTGGGTTCAATCCCTAGCACCACCACCACACATACACAAAAAAAACTAAAGGAGCCAAGGTCTGAAGAGTGATCCCTGATAAATCTCTGCTGACTCTTAGCAGGAGATAGAAAAACAAGGTCAATTTTGACCAACGTGGTCTTAAACACCTGGCAGGAAAGTATAACCAAAGCACAGTGTTTAAAAAAAGGCAATGGCTCTTTTAATGCAACTTGAGATGTGTACTTGGGTCAGTCCTCCCAAAAGTAAATGAAACTGGAAGGCTATAATGAAAGTGTTCTTATACAGGAGTACCTGACACTGCCAGAGTCCCAAGTTTGTTCTGAATCAAATGATTTGAGACTTACAAATCTTCCCAACCTCCTACATAGGTAAGCTCCATATGATATGATTAGCTAGCCCTGATATTTTGACCTGATTGGTCTAAAAGATGAATGTGACAAGTCAAAGTCCTAACTTTACCAACAGCATTCTAAGTGACACAGCTAAAGGGATCCTTCAACTAACACAAAAATAATGCCAATAAAAAAGCTCAGCCTAGGCCCTTCCTCTTCTTGGGACGGCCGCGCTCCGCGGCTTCCCGGGCTGGGCTGCTGCTGTCACCGCTATTGGGCCGTCGCAGTACGCGCCTCTCCACCAGGTACTCCGACTGGCCGACGCGCGGCGCCGCCTGCAGCAGGAACTCGCCGCGGCTGTGGGTGACGCGCACGTGCGTGCGCGGATACGTGCCGTACACTCGCCGCAGTTCCCGGCACACGAAGTCGGGCAGCTGCAGATCCTGGCCGTGCGTGCGTTCCACGCGGCCCCATCGCAGTTCGGCTTGCACATTGCCACCCTCGGGCCACGGCGCCCAGCTCTCGGCTGCGGATTCCTGCAGCGACGGCCTCAGGAGGCGGGCGGCAGGGGCCGGCGAGCTAAGGGCGGCGGCGTAGGCTGCTGGGAAGGCCCACCAGGGTGGAGTGGCGGCCGGAGATACGCTCGGGCCGTAAAAACAGTGGTATTCTCGCGGGGCCGCCCTCTCTCCCACGCACAAGCTCGCTGGCCGGCTGCAGAAGTTGTGGGCCTGGATGGGAGGCAGCAGCAGAGGGGCGGGCAGGTAGGTGTAGGTGAGGGGCTGCAGCGGAGGCCAGGCACTCTCCCCGCGCGGCAGGCAGACGTAAGAGTACATGGTGTGAACCTCAGGCAGCAGGCCTTTTCACTGGGGCTCCATTCTGGTTCAGACCTGTGGCGGGGCGGTGTTTGGATATAGACTTAATTCTTACTGTCACCCGGAACCCTGGGCTCTCCTTTCTGGCAGGAGCCTCACTTGCCTACCTCAAGGCTTTGGAGGATCGCCCTAAATCAGGTGTTGAATTCTCCTCCTCCTCCCATCTTGTCCCAGGTTTGGGCCTGAACCCCAGGCTTTCAGCAGGCCTAAAGGACCCTAGACCTTTTTAAGCCCTCAAACCCTGGCGTGCCCTTTCAATAACTTCACACTCACTTGTCTCCTTCACCCTGGGGAGGTTAGTCTCCAGCATTTGGGGTAGCCAGAGGGTTCCAGCAGGAGGCTTCTCTCCACCACTTGTTAGTTGCAGCTGCTCCCCGCCATACCCTGCCTCACTCAGCCACACCTCCCTGTTACCAGGCAAAGGGAAACACCTTGAACTGGCTAGGAGCCTGCCAGTCTGTCTACACCTGGGTGAGCGTAGGGTCACAGTGGCTCCAAGCTGGAAGCAGTGGCCTGAGCTCAGGGATGCCCACCTACAATATCACTGAAGGCTTCTTCTTTTTTTGATCAAGTTTGCTCCCCCTCCAAAAAAAAAAAAAAAAAAAAGAAGAAGTTTGCTCCCCATCCCCTAGCCCCTCCAGTGGATTGGGTTCTCCTAACATCTGAGTGAAGCTCCTGCACACTAGGACCTTCCTGCATTGAATTTTGCTTGTGAGCATCTGACTTCAAGTTGATATCAACTCTAGGAAGGTGCACTTAACATAGCAAGGAATTATAGGTACACAATAAAAGTGTTGACCAGGACTTATAAAGGTTAAATGACTTGCCCAGACTCATTTATGGTAAAGGCAAAATTCTACCCTACATCTGTCTCAAGACTCATGCTCACAATATTAGTCTTTTTTTTTTTTTGTACTGGGTATTGAACCCAGGGGCACTTTACCACTGAGCTATGTCCCAGCCCTTTTTTATTTTTTAGTTTGAGATGGGATCTCACTAAGTTGCTGAGGGTCTTGCTAAGTTGCTGAGGCCGGCTTCTGTAGGAAGCCATTCATGAAATACGTGAGGATCTTCTCTGGCATGAAGCCAGGGAGATTTAGATTTGGCCTTGGGAACCATCTGTCACTCTCCCACAGCAATAGATTGCCCAATGCACGTGACCTTTATCTCTGGTCTGCTAGGAAGATCCCCCATAGTAGCTCTGGAGATGGGTGTAACCCTTTGGGAACTGGACAGCCCACCTTTAACCTTTTTTGATGAAGAACATTCTATGGAAGGCCTTTGATATTTCCCAATATAAATAAAGCAGGCACAGGCTCCATTTTGCCATAGTATAGAAGCTCCATCCGCTTGCCCGTCCTCCCCCACCCCTGGCACCCCAATTTTGAAACTATTTTCTGTGTCCTTTGTTTTTTTCCATTCTATATTTTTTCTAGCTTTTATTTCTCAGCCAGCCTTTTCCACCAAGGGGAACCCCATTTCCATGGCCCTCGCGGGATGTGGGCGAGAGGCTTCAAACATACCATCCTCCTACCTCAGCCTCCCAGAATCAAATGAGATCAGGCATGTAACACTGTGCCCAGCACAATATTAGTTTTATTGCCAATCCATGCTGGAACTGCTTTCAGACTATCTCACAATCCCTCTCACTCTAGAATGTTACACAAGAACTTGTAATTCTTCATAGCCATGTGAAGAACAGATTGACATTCTCATTTAATAGCTAAGGAACCCTGCATGGTTGCGCACACCTGTAATCTCAGAGGCTCGGAGGTTGAGACAGGAGGATTGTAAGTTCAAAGCCAGCTTCAGCAACAGTGGGACACTAAGCAACTCAGTGAGACCCTGTCTCTAAATAAAATACAAAATAGGGCTGGGAATGTGGCTCAATGGTTGAGTGCCCCTGAGTTCAAAACCTTTCAATACCTGGTATCAAAAAAAAAAAAGCTAAGGAACCAGAGGCTCAGAGGAGGCTACTTTCCCAGGATCACACAGATTAAAAGCAGCACAGTGAAAATTGAACTCAGCCCAACTGATGCCAAAGCCTACAGGCCACTTGGATAAAGCCAGAAAGATTGCTTCTGATGGCATGAGTACTGTGAGCTCCAGTCCCCTGTGATAGTGGGTTCACCTATTTTTCTGGTGGGGTGAGTGGTCATTATGAATGATTAAAACTAATACCCAGCTTGGGGCTGCTATGCTATCACTTTCTCCCCACTTTTCTATTGACTTAAGCAGCATAACCAGCTTGAGTATCCTTCAAAACCCAGCCACTCCCTGGGAAGATCTCCCACAGTCACCCTGGCAATGTTACATTAGTCCTAACTAAGCTCCTCTCCCAAGTCTAATTTTGGCCAGTGGCCTAGTGAAGACAGCTGCTGAGGTCAGTATCTGAATAGAGAAAAGGGACTTGGCTAGGGTTTCATTTGGAATCTACCTAATACTCCCTACCCTACAGCTTCAAGACAGAGCCTTGCTCTCTGTCCACTCTAAGGACTCATCCTAGGGAGACAGTGGTCCTTTTGGGTGAAGCCTTCTATGGTAGGTAGAATAATGCCTGTCCCCCAAAGATGTCACTAATTTCATCCCTGGAAACCTATGAATTCGGCAAGCGGGAGTTAAGGTTGCAGATGATGTTAGGGTTGTGAGTTAGCTCACCTAAGAAGATTATCCTGGATTATCTAATGGTCCCAGTGTAATTACAGGGGCCCTTAAATGTGAAAGAGGGAGGCTAAAGAGTCAGAGTGACGACATGTAAAAAAGACTTGACCAGTCATTTCTGGCTTTGAAGATGGAATGGGCTCATGAGCAAGGAATGCAGGCAGCCTCTCGAAGCTGGAAAGGGTAGGAAAATAGATCCACCCAGACAGACTCTAGAAAGGAATACATTGGCTGGGGTTGTGGCTCAGCAGTAGAGCGCTCACCTAGCATGAGCAAGGCCCTGGGTTCAATCCTCAGCACCCCACAAAAATAAAATAAAGATATTATGTTCAACTACAACTAAATTTTTTTTTAAAAAAAGAAATGAATACAGTCATGTCAACACCTTGATTTTAGCCAACAAGATAAATTTCAGACTTCCAGCCTCTAGAACTGTAAGCTAATAAATTTGTTTTAAGCTGTTAAATTTGGTAATTTGTTACAACAGCAATAGGAGACTAATATATAATACCCCACTCCAATTTGTATAACTTTCCCTCCCCTAAAATCCTAGCACTCAGAGTGTCCAAGGCTACACTTGGACTAACCTCAACCCAGCCTTGAGATCAGTGACAGTCCAGTGAGACTGGCCAGTTTTCCCACCTGTTCTCAATCGCCCAAGAGAATGTAGTCACATTTTGGTGAGGGGTGGGGCTCATGCATGACCAAGCTCAAGTAGAGCCTGGGATGGTGAGGAACCTGCATTTTAATTGTGGTCCCTACATTCCTGCTGAAGATTTCTGCTGATCTGGGAAGGATGTTTTCAGGCAAAACAAGAAAAATAAGGATCAAGCTGTGAGTTTCTCAGTGAATCCTTCACCCTGATTCCAGTAACAGCCCCCTTATTTTTGGAGTCACCCACTGGTTCTCAGTCAAATGGTTCTGGTGGAGTTGATTATTCTGTCCATAAGTTTTGGGTGATTTAGGACTAAGTGAATCAGCCCTGCCATCCCACTGGCCATAGTTTAGGCTGGCCAATATGAGCCAAACCCAGAGCTTTGTTCCTTTATTCCTTGGAGGAAAGTTCTTTCTTCCTGAACAGAAATCTGAAATAATGCATTCTGGGCCGTGGGGGGAAGGCTTCCTGAGTGTGGAACCTAGATCAGAGAGGTAGGAAACTAGGGGAGCAGATAATTTCTTCAAATATAGTGTGTATCCATTTTTTGTAGTTACGGTAAATCCAATATGTTTCAAGGAATCAGGCAGTGATGTGGCCTGTGACACCCGAAGTCCCCTCCTAGTTTTCTCTGTGCTTGACAACCAGGAAGAGGAATAAGAGATAATAACAAGGTAAAAGGTTACATTGTTGAAATCAGAAGGCTAAGGGACCTCAGAATGTAACCATGGGGCATTAAATGCAACATGAAGGATCCAAGGTCTATCCTTTTCTTCTTCCCCCCAAAGTTTCACATATTTACTAGCAAACCAACCCAACCACTACTACAAAAGCTTCATAGCTAAAAAATAAAATTACATTCCCAGTTAAATATTCTCCACCATCTAGACAGTGGTAACATTTTCAATTTGATGTGACAAGATGATCATAACCTTTATATATCATAACCTTTATACGCATAAACGTGTGCCATTTCTTGTGTAATTCCTTACAGACCTAACTTGGTTCTCCCCCAATGTCTCCTCTTGGAGCTGTACCTGATTTTATTACACTGTTCATTCAAATACATTGAAGAATGGAACAGTTTTGGTTTTGTTTCTTGGCCAGGAATTACTTAATTTTAAATCTCATGAGAAGACACAGCGAGGAACTGACTCAAGTGCACACACCACAAGGCTGAAAAATCCAAGTTCTCTCATAGAAATTATCTCTTATCAGTCTTCCCCATCCCACCATTTCCCTACTGGACTCCCAGGGAGGGTTAAGGAAAGACTCAGGGTTTGCTTTGAAATAAAGGCATACACTAGCCAGAGATGGAAGGGCAGGGGAAATTCCCTTAGCAAATTTACAAGGGACGTAGTGTGCCAAACCTACAATGAATGCTGAAATTTAGCTCTCTGTCTTCATAGCCAGGAAAGCATAGAAGGAGGTGAGGGGTGGGGAGAGGGAAGAATTGATCATCTTTCTTCTAGTCATGAGGGCATTCTGGAAGAGGGCTTTCAGCAGTCACTTAAGTCTAAAAAGTGTGTGTGTGTGTGTCTGTCTATTTATCTGTCTCTAGGAGAGTATATAGGTTCAGTTTGATGTGACTGCAGCCATCTTGAGTTGTAACTGTCATGACTGCCCCAGAGTAGCCCTAGTTGGC